TGGTGGCTGAGAGCTCTAGGCCGTTCGAGATTTATGTTGAAGGCCATTTTACCAACTCCTTCCCAGGCTGGGCTGAGTGGCTGAAGCTTTCTCTGTGGCTGAGTAGGGATGGGACGGCAGAGGAGGTGGCGACAGCGGGAAAGCCAGCGCTGGTTCCCTCTCCCACTGGAGAGTAGAAGCGTGCAGCCCGTCGTAAAAAGAAAACATTGTAAAGTGCCTGTTTATGTGCTGAAGTAATTTCTAATTAGTGGAGGCGGGGAACGTGGTCCGCTGTGGTTAAAGGAGGCACTGCACCAGGACAGTGGCCATGCTGTTCCTTCCCTCTGGCCTCCTCCAGGGACTGGCTGCGAGTCGCCTCGCCTCCTCCCCCAGAGAGCTGCCAGCTATAAGATTTGGGTAAAAATCCTCCATTCATTCATCCTGAGCATCTGGCATTCATTCTCCTGCCCTTTAATATTTAGGCTAATTAATAGCATCCCTTCAAGGCTGAAAACTAGTACGAAGATGATGATCCTTTTAGCTGAGGGTGATGGGAGGCACACAGAGCCGAAGTGATTTCCCTCCAGGGGCTGGAATCCCTAAGTGTGGGTAGAAGCTAATCATGGCCTATCACCACTCAACCCCACACCCTCCCAGACCACACCAGGGAGCTCACGGGGTGCTCTGAGGATAAACGACTGTTTATTCAGCTTTGGGGACAACTCAGATTAGGTGTTAAAGAAATACAAAGCATTACTAATACAGATGGGGTCTTTATTTCCTCACAGCCACACTCATGTTCCTGAACCCTCAGCTCACCCGCTACAGGGGCTTCCCGGTACTCTCCTTCCCCTAGAACTCTGTCTCAAGAACAGGCTTCTGGAGCCAGGATGAATTACGACTGCTTCGTTTTATTCATTAATTTTTCTCTGGGAAAGAAAAAAATTACAATATGCTCCCTGTAAAACAAATTTCAAATAATCAAGACGTTCACAGTGAAAAGTAAATAAATAAATAACCATGTCCCTCCCCCAAAATTTAGTCTATACCCACCTCATGTCTCCCAGTCAAATTCACTGACACTGTCCCATTCCTTCAAAGAAATCAGAAAAGTAATGACCAATTCGTGAGAAGGCGGAAAGCCATGTCCTTCACAGCTGTGTGATGGGGGTGTTTTTTACAGCTGCCACTTTTCAGTTTCCTCATCTGTTGAACTAATATAGTGCTGAACTACAGTGCCTACCTCAGAGAGCTACTTAGAAGTTTAAACAAGATGCCTGCTTTGTCAAGTTAAATGTCATTGTTTCTAGGAATATATACGTGTATCCCTAAATTTTACAAAATAGGGTCATTCTAAGCGTGACTTTCAACCAGTGCCCACTTTGACACAACCCTCTGCCGTGGCTCAACACCTTTCCATACGAGTTGGCAAAGATGGGTTGATCCTCAGAATGCCAACCACCAGCCCAACCTTCCCTTCGAGGTCAAAAAGGGTGTGGTGGATAGTAAGGGTGCCCGCCAGACCGAAACAACAGAGCGGAGGGGCTTCTAGTGATGAGGAAGACAGAGAGGTTGGCCCTGCCAAGGACATCAGATCCTATTGACCTCCTTATCCTATCCCTACCTTCAAGTTTCTAAATAAAATATCTGGACGAAAATAGAAATATCAGGGGTGGGAGGTGCCAGCTGAACAGCACCAGTGTCCCTTCTGTCCCTGCAGAATGCTTATCTGTCATTTTAGTGGTGCTTTAAGAAGCATGACTATTTATTTTTGTCATTGATTTCTTGCTTATTTGCTTTGTCTCAAGGAGCATGCTGTGTATGACGACTTTTCTGCTCTGGAGTTAATCAAGCATTGCTTTGACCCAGCACATGACTGAACTTTCTGGAACACTCTATGTGTGGTTTTTGTTGAAGTTTTTGTCCCCTGGTGAGATTTTTTTAATTCTCACAGGATTATTTACCTTAATTCGTATTTAACAGATTAAAAATCACAGGACACCCAATGTTTCGTGGATTTATTCCTTGGATTGAAACTGAGATTCATCACTAATTTTTTTTTCTTTTTGAAGAGGTCAACAGAAAAAGAACTGCTTAGTGGGAAAGGTCAGGGAATAAACTAGACTGGTAAATATTTTGATGGTAGTCAACAAAAGTCTTGGGTTTGAGACCTTCAACGAGGTAATAAACAAAAGGAAAACCTATTGCACAAGAAGCATGTCTTTAACTTGCTGGATAGTGCACTACACCCTGTGGGCAGACAGTAAATACAGTCATTCCTCCTCTAACCAAATCATAGGATCTGGGACTAATACCAACATCGTAGTCTTATAATGGATTTTAAGGTATTGAGTTATATATATATATATAGTTTTGCAGAAACGTTTTTATATGTTTTATCTAGCCTCCTTAATAATATGCTTATAAAGCATTTTAGTCTTGCTTTAGGTATTTAATATATTGGTTCTGTGAATCTACTCAGCATAAATTTAAGGTCGAGCCTGTGCCCTTTCCTTCTTTACCAACTTTTGAATTGTTTTCACTCACTTTAGATGGATGAAAAAGCAAAGGGAATTGGTTGATATTTTGGTTCAGGAACATTTATTTGTGGGTGTTGACTTACCATCCCTAAGGTCACTAATGTAAGAAATAGAGAACTGTCACTAGTTTAATAATGTCAACTGGAAGGTGCCTTGCTCCGGTTGTCCCATAGTAGTGTCTGCAGTCTTTCAAGATTATGAAACTCGTTCACTGGTACTGTTTAAATTTTCGCTTCGCACTACCTTGTGAACAGATAGAGTGATGTTATGCAATGTGTAAGAGTACCCTGGGAGAATTGCAACTTAGATTTCTGAAGTTAGAGAGTTATCTTTCAGGACATTTGAAAACGGCTGTGGTATTTCAGAAGAAAGTGTCTTTTATCTCTAAGGGGCCTCCTTTAGTCCTGGGAGAAATCCCTGTCAAGCAGATGGAAGGCAGCGTGGAATAAACAGCTCTTTGGAAATCCTGTTAGATTGGAACATTAAGAATTGGCTTCAGCACGTAAAATGAGCCTATTAGCAAGACCAGGAGTTCAAAAATGTTAACAGTTTCTTTGGAAATTCTCCGACAGAGAAATGGATGAGATCTACATGAGTAAACTGGGGGTGAGGGGGGTAATGGAGGGCAAGGGTCAGGGGAAAGAGAGCTTAGGGGAGCGGGAAGTCCTAGCTGGATCAGGAACAGAATGGAGCAGAATGGGAGAACAAGGAACGAGATACCACAATAAATGAAGACCCCATGGGAATAGGAAGAAGCAGAGTGCTAGAGAGGTCCCCAGGAATCCACAAAGATGACTCCACTATAGACTACTGGCAATGGTCGAGAGGGTGCCTGAGCTGACCTACTCTGGTAATCGGATGGCTGAACACCCTAACTGTCATGATAGAACCTTCATCTAGTAACTAATGGAAGCAGATGCAGAGATCCATGGCCAAGCCACAGGCGGAGCTCCAGGAGCCCAATCAATGAGAGAGAGGAGGGATCATATGAGCAAGAGATATGGAGACCATGATTGGAAAAAGTACAGAGACAACTAGCCAAACTAATGGAAACACATGAACTGTGAACCAATAGCTGAAGGGACCCCATGGAACTGGACTAGGCCCTCTGGATAAGTGAGACAGTTGTTCAGCCTGAACCGTTTAGGGGGCCCCCAGGCAGTGAGACCGGGACCTGTCCTTAGTGCATGAGCTGGCTTTTTGGAACCTAGGGGCTATGCTGAGACACTTTGCTCAACCTTGGTGCAGGGAGGAGGGGATTGGACCTGCCTCACCTGAATGTACCAGGCTCTGCTGACTCCCCATGGGAGATCTTGCCTTGGAAGAGGTGGGAATGGTGGGTGAGTTGGGGGAGGAAGGCTAGGGGTGGGAAGAGGGAGGACAGGAGAATTTGTGGTTGATATGTAAAACAAATAGAAAAATCTCTTAATAAAAAAAAGAAAAAAAACAAAAATATTTTTTAAAAAATAAAAGAATTTGGCTTCAGCATGTAAAGTGAGCCTATTAACAAGACCAGGAGTTCAAAAATGTTAACAGTTTCTTTGTATATACATTCCCTTATGCTGAAAAAACACTATGATCTTGAAACACTCTCTCATCTTCTCACAAATACATGCCCAGTGGCCGAGAAGAATGAAAAAGATTGTCTTTCACATTGCCCTAACCAGACTGTAGGATGCTCTCACTCCAGGTGTGGGATGCACTGGCTGACATGATTTCCCAAGGTATTGATAAGGGCTTGGTAACTCTTATCAGGCTTTGGTAACATGGTTGTGCCACGTGAGTCTTCAGAGTTTGGATTCGAAAACTGCTTGAAGCAGTTGTAAGTAAACCATGGAGCTGACAAAGACAGATTTCTAAAGTCCTAGGAGGAGGCTTGGCCATGCCTCTACGTCGTCATATGATTTTTAATTTGCAAAAGTATGATGTTTCCATATTCTTGTCCTTGTCCATGGCCTCCAAATTATATAAACATCGTTCCCTGCAGAATCTGCATCTGTGCCGGCTCCAGGAGATCTCACATTGTGCTTTTGTTCCCTCCAAGCCTTCAGTATAGTTCTGTTGAATATTGCAGCCTCATCTTTGTTACTATCTTAGAAGATTAAAAGAGACTGAGTCTACACTCAGAATGGCAAAGTTATGACAATTTCCTGGAGCAGCTGGTTTGGGGGTGCAATGGCTGTCCAGTATAAGGTGGAAGAGAAAGCTGGATTGACCACAGCTTTGGAAAGGGAGATGTGGGTGAATATGAAAGGGCATCAGACTGCACACATACGTTCATCTTGGAAGAAGATTCTTAGGAAACAATGTGTGCAGAGGCAATTGGAGTTAGAGCCCTTCTGAGATTAGAAGAGCTAAAGGAAACAAAAATGACACAGATACATTGAGCAAGAGTGTGAAACTAGCTAGCAGAGCACACAGGGATGCAGCTCAAGGTTCCCTGATTTCACAACCAGTTTTCCACATCCTCAGAGTGTCCCACAAGAGTCAAAAGTTTCCATCAAGGAAAACTGAGCAAAAGTGGAAGGGAAAGGCAACTTTCTATGTTTGTTGAATTAAGGACCCTCTTGCATGAGCTGTTGATGGCTTCCCAGCGTTATTGTCTGAGCAAGAAATATCACACTTGCCGAGTGGTGGTGGTACACACCTTTAATCCCAGCCCTTGGGAGGCAGAGCCAGGTGGATCTCTGTGAGTTGGAGGCCAGCCTGGGCTACAGAGAGAGATCCAGGACAAGCACCAAAACTACACACAGAAACCCTGTCTCGAAAAACCAAGAAAGAGAGAGAGAGAGGGAGAGAGAGAGAGAGAGAGAGAGAGAGAGAGAGAG